TGCTTGCCCAATGGACTCTTCTAGCCAATCCATTTTTTCAGATTACTGCTAATGATCTGGCTATTTATTATGTATAATATTACTTTGATAGGCAATGTATTTGTTTTGCTGAACTACTTGATACTGATATTTGTTTTGCTTATAAAGGCATTTGTCTTTCTATATCTTTTGGCAATTTCCTTTTGGTTAACATTTTCCTTGCTTTGACTGGGCCAGTGCACCAAAAGCCCATTGTCGCAACATTGACAAGGCTTTTCAACGAGACATCAGAAGCACTGGGAGGTTCACGTGCAAATCCAGCTAAAAAGCGGGAGATAGAAGACAACTCAAGGAGAATCGGAGGATTATTTGCGAAATTGAACAGTGGGGACATCTCTAAAAATGCCTCAGATAAGCTCCTTCAGCTCTGTCAGGCATTAGACAAAGGCGATTTCAGTACTGCCCTACAAATTCAGGTAAATCAATGGAAGATTAAGCTATTTACTCTACTGATGATGACACCAATCAAATTTACAATGTGGCCTACCTCTGGTGTGTTGCAGGTACTACTTACTACAACCGAATGGGACGAATGCCAGTCCTGGCTCGGTTCGCTGAAGCGAATGATTAAGACAAGGCAGAGTGTGAGATAAATTAAAAGATATCACCGATCCTCGTCCCCTTTCTGTGCCCAATATTGGAAAAATTTTTCACTATGGTCAGCTTCTTGTAGTGCCGCTGACCCCTTCATCCATGTACACAAGACTTGACTTGTATACTGCAGGTGCAGGGTTTTGGTTCTTTTGCTCTTAGGACAATATAAGCTGTGCCCTCCTCGCTTTCACTGGGTTTATCATTCAGGACATGATCAGAAGTACTTTTAGCGGATTGTTTTTAATCCAATATATGTAACATGAAAGTGTCTTTTTTTGTTTGATTTTACATTTTTGCCTCTGCTTTGAAAGTCATAGATGGTTTAATCTTGCACACATTTTGTACTTTCATTTGATTTAATCCAATCTTTGTAATATGGAAGTGTCGCGTTTGTAGTTATTGATTATTGATTTGGTTGCCAAGGAATTGAATAATGTACTCTTTTTATAGTAACTCATCTAGGTTCTGTTCGTTACAGAGTTTGGAAAGTGAGCAGCACAGTTTATTGCCTTTAAATAGTATGGTCTTTTTCACCAAAATAAAAATAGTGAGTTTTATGATTTTATATTGTATATAAATATAGAGATTGGTTATCAGTTTTTCATTCTTCCCTGGTTTAGGCTTGTTGCTAGGTAAAGAGTAATGTTTAGAATTTTTTTTTTTTTTTTAGACCTGATGTTTAGACTTTAGATGATCTGCGTTATGCAAGTGTAGCAAAAGATAAAATAAGTGAATAGAAAGAGAGTGGGTTATGTGTATGTGTGACTGTGTGAGAGGGAGTGTACTCGCTCTTTTATATTTCTCTTAAAATGTATATATTATTGTGGAAGATCTCAAGCTAAAACCAACAATACTCTTTTTTAGCAAATTAAGGAGCGAGAATTTTATATAAGGATCATGAATGTGATATATTTTTAAATTAAGCTTTATACATTTTAAAATTTCATGGCAAAATGTTAGGCTTAAATTGAAATGACAATACATGACAATGTTCAAAATGTTTTTTTTTAGTATGTAGCAGCCTAACAAGTAATATATGAGAATTAACAAATAAAGCAAAGCATTTAATAAGTAATATAGATGTTAATAATAGAAATCTATGTGACTATTTAAATGTCTGGCTTGTTAAATTGTTATTATAACTTGCCAAAACAATTACATTGCTTGTTAAAAGCTTTACTTTATTTGCTAATTCCTTTTGTTACTTGTTACATTTACTATGTTCACTATACATCACTTCTCCAACCCAATTCTATCTAATATGAGATCTTTTCTCACCAAGTTCTTGATGTGGTTTCTAATTTGGTGGGTTTAATTGGTCTTGATGATAAGGTGATTGATTGCATCCTCTTGTTGGGAAATTGAGACAAGTCCAAACTGAATACTCTACTTCCTAGAAACGTGATTAAGGCTCCGACTCGCACTAGGCTTAGACTTGGTTGAAGTAAAGAGTTTTTTTATCTAGAAGCACTCGAGAGATGGAAAGTTTTCTATTGGCCTATTAGGTTTGCATATGATTTTTTACTTGCAGGTGCACCAAGACAATCAACCTTCAATTGGAGACCTATATGGCGATTACAAGTTCTTGAAAAGATGAAATTCCTCCAATGGTTGATGGCACACGGATCTGTCCATACTTGCTAGTCTTCGCCAAAGAAGGGGATTACTTCAATCAAGCTTGTGCCCCCAAAGATGTGCTGATGTAGAGGATGAGATTCACTTATTCAGAAATTGCAAGGAGGCCGAGATCAGGTGGAGACGACTGATATCTCAAAGACATTGGACCGAGTTTAAAAGGGGTAAATTGTTACAATGGCTAACCTGGAACCTGAGCACTAATCTGGGTAATCAACAGACAAAGCAATTTAGTTGAAATATTCTTTTTACATACACATGCTGGGATATCTGGACGTCAAGATGCAATGATACATTCAAGAATGAAGCGAGTAGTCAACAGACCAACGCTGAAACAATCTTATTTAAAGTGGTCCAAGACAAAAAAAATGCTGAACTCTGCTAACTTGTCAAGACACAGACCGTCCTAGCTTTAATCTAGATTCTCATTATCCTATACTTGTGAGATCAGATGTAGCTGGGCAATCAGTTGTATTAAGAAGACAGACCAATGCTGTCGAGAAGTGAATCTGCAGTTCTTCGCTCTATTCGCGAAGGACTTGAAAGGTGCTGGAATGGAGGGTACAAAAAGATTGAGGTGGACTTGCACTGTGCTAATAGTTTTAATCTTCTCAGTAGGGGACTCTTGTAGTGATCACCTGCTCTATAAGGTTATCTTGGACATCAAGAACTAATCTTCAGAGATTGGAATGACTCTTTCAATTATTCTTGTAATGATTCTAGCTTTTTTTGTTAATGATGTTATTAGGTTAGGTTTACTTAGTTTTGATTCTTTTGGAACTTTTTACTGTTAACCCACTCAAATTTCAGGGAGGATAGATCGTAAAAGGTGTTGATCCCAGTTGAGTTTGTATTTTTTTTTTTTGGTACAGTTTTTATGGCATCAATAGATCTTCTATTCATCCCAAAAAAGAAAAAAAAGTGGCCGATGAACTCAATAATGTCCGCTGGCTATCTTTAAGCTTTGCTGGCATAGAACATCATGATTTTGGGAGGTTTTTTGTGACTCTGATATAGTTGTGATAGACCATAATAGGAATCATCTTTTTCGGGGCTTTATTGGAGGAGCTACGAAAATTGTTGATAGAGATTTTTATATTACTATTAATTCACTATATAGAAAAGGTACTAAGTATGCTAATTCTAGTATACTGGAGTTAACTAATCAGATCAAAATTTGAATGTTTATTGAAAAATGTGTCCATGCTTAAAACCTACCTTAAATAGAAGGCAAATGTGCTTTTAAAAAAATACACTTACTTCAATTAGGCTTGCTCATAACATTGATTTTGATTATTATACCTTGTCATTTGATAGGTGCTATTGCTGAAAACTTATTGGCGGAAATTATTCGGAATGTTACACTTCCTAATTCGTACCAAATATGTTAGAGGAGTTATATTTTTGAAAGAGAGTGTTACACTTCCTAATTTGTACCAGATATGGTAGAGGAGTTATATTTTTGAAAGAGTTGATGATCAAACAATTATGAATTCTTAAGTCCTTTATCATAATTTTTTTTTAGAGTGTCAAAGTGAATTAGAGTTTAAGATATGCGTGGGCAAAAATGATAGTGCATTACTTGAAAGTAATTACAATGAGTGTGGTTTGATGATAGGAGAGAAAAGCAAAGTAATATACTTAGAAGGTCTAGATTAGAGATTAAGGGTCACATTGGGCAAATTTTAGTTGAGTTTACTTGATGCAATTGAGTTGTATAGAATATTGTACTTCTTCTTCCTTTTTTCTCTTTTTGCATGAGCACCTTGTGTCCTAGGCCTGCTCCACTCGAGTTGTGAGGACTTAATAAAGCTCAGATTAATTCAATTAGAGGGATAACCACAAGAGTGAACGGCCCTAGTCACTTACATTGTTACATTTTCAAAACTCAAACTCGAAACCTTTGTGATTAAATTAAAAATTGTAGAGATTTCTTTTGCATGAACACTTGATATCTTGAGCTTGTTTGACTCAAGAAGTGAGGATTTAATGAGACCCAAACTAATTCAAATTAAAGCATGACAAGCATTACAAATGTAAATATCCCTTGTCACTTACACTGCTGCATTCTCAGAATTTGAATTTAAAACCTTTAATACCTTTAATTAAATTAAGTTAGAACAACTCTTATCAGTTGATCTTGTTGTTTGAAGAGACTTGACTTCTATTTAGGCGACGATGCTCCCCTTTGAATTCAAAATTTACCCACCAAAGGGAACACCGCGCCAGCATGGGCGCGACTCCGCTCCATTGAAACGCAACGTTTTACTGATTCCCCAAAGGTCCTGCCTTCAAACGTTAATGGAACGGGCCCGTTGTGTAATTTCTTCAAGTTTAGTACTCTCGATTTTCAGCCCATAGTACGATTTCAGCCCAAATACCAAACAAAAGGTAATATCTTAGCGACAATTACATTGATATAATATCTTATTCCAATTTTAAATATAAAAATATTAAAAGGCTTAATAATTTCCGCGTAAAAATAAAAAACGAATGCACGCAATACATAATTACATTACAGTAATACAGTAAAACCTCAATTGTGTCCTTTCCTTTGTTTCATTAACTTAAGTACAAACCACATTCAGAACCTTGTTTAGGGAGGAAAAAAAGATAAATAAATAAAACTCCAACAATTAACAGACTTTATCAAATCTACAATCCAAAAAGTGAGATTAATAACTCCAGACATATATATATATATATATATATTCATCGAATAAAATACCACCATAGTTTAGTTTAATATTAATATATAGCGGCGAATCAACGAGGAAGATAGGGGCAAAAAAAAAAAAAAACATCACAACCAGATTTTCTGCACTTGGAAGTTGATATTTTCAGAGCTTAATTAATTAAACTTGCAAATCTAATTTAACAATATTTGAGAAAGAGTTGTCACTATTATTGTTCATTCAGCTGAGCCGCGGTGGCCATGGACGACGCTACTCCGCCTGGCGTGGCTAGCATGTCCGGCGAGTCTCTCCGCCATGGGAACTGCACCTCCGCCGCAAACACAGCCTCCGCGTCTTCCTTTGTCACCGCTTTGTCTGTTGCCAGCTTTTCCGTCGCATCCTATGTTTCAAAATTGAATCAACTCACATGATAAAAAAATTTAAACATTGACAATTAAATATCAATATATTATATTAAATTAATAACAATTAAGTTTCTGATAAAATAATTTCAAAAGATAAATTACAATTCGAGAATCTTCATTATAAATAAGATATTGGAATTCTAAATGTAATTCTCAATTTAAAATTAAAATATATAATTATCAATACTTGCAACTTATTTAATTATTATTGATTTCGTCTTTTCTTTCTATCAAAATTTAAAAAGTCATTAAACATGAATAAATATTATATATATAGATAGATAAATTATATAATGATTACAGATATAATAATAAGACAAATTATGATGATATCATATGTCTCAAGTGGAATTATATTGTTTTACCATTAAAACATCGGAAAGCTTTGTCATGTCTGCCCGGCTTCTGGCATGAGTGTTCATAGAGGCTGCATTCTGAGCCGTATCCGCCACACCGCCAGGGGCCACTTGGTTACTTCCAGTTGCTCTGATCTCCGCCGCCGTGATAGCAGCAGCATCGCTCTGATCCACCGGTTTATCTCCGGCAGAAATCGCCACCGCCTCGAGCGCCTCCCCAATAGTGATGGGGTCCCCATCTATGGCGGCCGACCCGATAGTAGAAGCCACGGTGGGGCCGTCCTGTTCAACTTGCTGCCCTAAAACCTGGCCGCCGACGGCCTCCGTGATGATACGCTGACCGCTGGCCTTCGTTTCAGTCACAGACACACCTTGGTTCTTGGCAATGTCGGTGAGGTCTCTGTGTTCGACATAGCCGGCGATCTCGTTGATGACGGCGGCGGATTGCATGGTGTCAGCCGGAGTTCCCTTGTGGGTTTTTCCTAAGACTTGGATCTCGGCGGCCTGCATGGCGGCTGCATCTTGAGGGGAGATGGGTTTGGAGGCTAAGTCGCCGGAGACGTTGAAAACGTCACCGTATTTGATGGGTTGCTGGAGCTGAGAAAGAGGAGAGAGATGTTCATTATCAGATTGAGGCCTGAGAGGCTGACCGTGACTCATGCTATGGAGAGAGATCAGAGCAGAGTGTTGCAGTTAGTACTGTTTTGGGAAGAAGATGAGGAAGACGGTGAAGTATATAGAAGAAGGGATAGGGATGCATGCAGAAGCTGACGTGTCAGGCGTACAGAGAAAGATGGGAACAGTTTTGGTGCTGATCAAACACCGTAAATCAAAATTGAATGTTCCAAGGTGACAGCAACAGAAGCCAAGTGTAGGGACGTGAGAGAAGGTGGAAGTATTTGACACTGCCACCTTCCACGCTTTAAGATTAGTAGTTTCAGTCTCATCACAGTAATGAATACCTCATGAGGTCCAAACTATTTAACAATTTAAATTTAAATTTTTTTAATTTGTAAATTTTTATAGAAATTTTTTAAAATGAAAATTATAATATCATATTTATTTCAAATTATATGCGTCTTAAAATAATAATTTCTTAAAATTATAAAAATAATATTTTATTAAATCAGAATCATTTAAATCAAAATTTATTTAATATGTACAGTAATGACTACCCAATCATCTTCCACAAGTTCTCCGAAGTTGTGAAAATTAGTGAAGTTGGAATTCAAAGAATGATGTGGGCTGTTCAAAATCAAGAAGTTCTCTTTGGCAAAAACTTTTCGCAGTAATATGTTGGAAAATTTAAAAGGCAAAATGCAAGAACTCTTATTTGAGGATACACTAGATAAAGATATTGCTTTTATCAACAAATAACAACTAAGCAATGATATTAGCCTACAATGCAAGATTAGCTAGTTATTCAAGGAAGTTGCAAGATATAAATTAAAATGGAGGCCTTTTGAAATAGGCTGAGCAAGACTTGACATTGATGGATCAGTTAACACTAATGGAGTTGTGGCATGTGGAGGTATGATTTGTGATACCCATGGTAATTGGATTAATAAATTTTTTAAATATCTCGGTTATCATTCAAGTACGACTGCTGAACTACTAGGTGTCTTAGAAGGAACTAAACTTTATTAGGGTACTAAACTATCCAAAGTGAACATTTATTTGAACTCTCTTGAAGTTTTATTATTGATTCAATACAACTTTTTCAAGAACCATCCTTATTCAAATTATATTGAGAAGATCACGGAGTTTACTATGAGAGATTGGACAATTACTTTCAATCATGTTCTAGGAGAAACAAGCATATGTGCTAATTTTCTTGCTCACCAAGCATCCAACAATAATTTCAAGTTAATGATCTTTCATGAACCACCTTCTAGGTGTGGTAATATCATGTATTTTGATATGATAGGATAGTTTTTTTTTTTTTTTGCACGGGTGTCCCGTGGCCATGTATTAAAAAAAAATTCTAAGATAACTTTAAATAAATTTTATTATTTCAAAATATAAAATAATTTGAAAAAATTAAAAATCTCATTTATGTAAAAAAATTTAAGATAATATTGTAATGTAATGACTAAACGTATAGAAACATTTTTGACCAGTAAATAATGTGAGAAACAGCCTTGAGACTCCAGGTTCTTTATCCACCCACGTAGCAAGAAATTTATTGTAAAGTGTAAACAATGGCATTTATGTGGTGGGTCACCATTTTTTCTTTTTCTATAAAACAATACTGAGACAAGTTATATGGAGTACTAAACATGTTTTTTTTATATAAATATTGTATGGAGTCTTATAGCCGGTTTATCGTGCATTTCGCTATTTTCTATGTATAGAAACATTTTTGAAATTTTATAATTTTCTTTTTAAAAAATAAGTTTATAAAGTATCAATATTGTATTTTATGGGCATACATAATCTTATTTAAAATTATCTTATAATTTAAAATAAAGAAAGTACTACAAAAATTACATTTATAACTATTATTATAGGCTATCACCATTAATCAAATGTTTTTAACTCAATTTCTTTTTTAAATTAACATAAAAGAATTTTTATAAATTAGTTTACAAAATAATTTTTTAAGACAAAAAAGAGAACAAAATCAAACAAGCTCAAGGTTTTTTCTCTCTGTTTATCTTTCTTTGTATGATTTTTGCCATCCCTTTTGATTCAATAAAAGAAAGGCAGAGTGAGAGACAGATAGAGAGAGTGGGGCTGAAGGATACTACATGAGCTCAAGTTTTCTTTTTTTTAAAAAAAAAAAAAAATCCTTTTTCCCTTACATTAAAGGTTGATATACATGCACAAGTGATTACAAATCAACAAAACCTACAAAGGATCCCTATGATGTATGATCTATCAGTATACATGGTTTTATACACAGAAGAGTTTACAATATCACTGAGATTTGAGTGCCACATCCCTGAGCTTGGCCTGAGAATTGATGTAAGATCTGATCCTTTCCCAAAGTGTTAAAGTTAAACTATTGCCTAGATACCTAACCATGACTGACTTTTTTGAGTCTTCTCTGATAAATTCTAACTGCTTGACAACAGTGAATTTTGTGCTGTCCGAGTCCTCAAGCAGAGGTAGTGAGAAACAGCCTTGAGACTCCAGGTTCTTTATCCACCCACGTAGCAAGAAATTTATGACCTGTAAACAATGGCATTTATGTGGTTGGTCACCATTTTTTCTTTTTCTATAAAACAATACTGAGACAAGTCATATGGAGTACTAAACATGTTTTTTTTATATAAATATTGTATGGAGTCTTATAACCTGTTTTTTGTGCATTTCGCTATTTTCTTCGTCCAATTCCATTTTATTCTGCATACTTGTCAGTGCATCAAACTAATCGAGTTCAAATCCCAAACATGTAAATAGCTGGATTAGTAGTCAACCCTTCTCAGGAAAATCCCCTTAAATCCTTTTGTTTCTAGGTAGATGTAATAAAGGTCAATAGCTAATTGTCCTAGTGATAATGCCACCTCCCTCAAGTCCTAGATTCAAACTTGTCATTGACATATTTGTATGCATACGTGGATGTGGGTACCTTCCTTTCTTACTGAGAAGAGTTGGGTTAGGGGTAAATTTTTTAAAAAGGTAGACGCATTAAAGGATTTGGATTCAATGTTTAATGGGGTCACCCAAGAATTTGGAAAACTCAAAACCTTGTGGTGGGTTAGGATTAGGAAAGAATCTCCCCCCCCCTCCCTCACTCATAGGCATTGGATGAGGGTGTAAAAGGAAGTAGAAAAGGCTATTAGCATAAACTCTTGTCGCAGGTTTTTTTTTTTTACCTCACCTAAAATTGATAAACACTTCCATCTTCAATTACTCATTCATACAATAGCTTAACCAAAAGAATGGACAGAATAGAAAAACCAGCAAAGAATAGATTTCCAGTTAATTCACATGATCAGCACATAGCCAAGAGCTTTGTTGCTCGAGTCAGTTCTCTTATGTATAGACAAACAAGGTCCCATAAAATGGGGAAAGCAGAAAGCAGACTCTACTTTGAGCATTGGAAGTTAAAATCACCAGGAGCAGATTATAAATACAGAAGCCAATCAGGAAGAAAAATATAAATGTCAAAGGTGAGTCTCACAGAAAATGAAACAGGACATGTTTTCGTGTCAATTTATAATTGGCTTGATTCCTCTATCCTATAGAGAATCTGCAAAAGAAAGAACACTTTCAAACTAATTAGTGAGGAATCGTTTACCTCAGGGACTTCATCATGAGGACAGTGACCGGCCGGGCTGATTTGATAATATGGAGCTTTAGGAACCTTCTTTTTAACCTGAAGTCCCCAAATTGGCCTCACCCAGGGATCTTCTTTGCCATACATGAGGCAGATGGGCACATTGTTGGCTCGACATCTAAAATGCAAACATCCTGGAAATATTAATCTTTGGAACCAAAAATAGAGAAAATGATCAAGAGAATATGGAGCAGTTTAAGTAAATGATGCCTACTTAGATAATGCCTCGTCAAAGGACAATTCTGCCTGAGGAGCAAACATAATTGAAGCGAATGATGCAGCAGCAGCTGGATGCCTTGTTGTTTCAATTATACGCAAAAACACATTATCTACCTTCGTTGAATGATCTGCATAAACCTGCTTAAGTATCTCAGCGATGCTTTTTGGATCACTAATTTTCTCCCACCTAAAGATAGACAAGATCAATTCTTCAATTCAAAACCAGGTTTGATGGAAAGGATTTTCAACACAAAGCAAATCTTACTTTTACTCAAAAAAGAGAAATCTTAAACCATTAAGAATACTTTTCTAAGTTTCTCACATATGAATGGAAGTGAAGGTTATGTGCTCGAAATACAGCAAATTATAAGTTAATTTCTGGAAAGTTTAAATCAAGTCAGCAAAAAGCACATGGATGAAGCAATGAATAAATTGAAGTGATACTCACAACAACTCTGTCAGACTTTTCACACGTGGTGGTAGAGGAAATGTTCCTGCCCATGGAAATAATTTTGCAAGTCCTGGATTTCTCACAGGATTGGGCAAAAACCCCCAAAACGGTGTTGCATTAAGCAATGTGACACCCTTAACTAAATGAGGATTGCATGCTGCAAAATACAATGCAACAAATCCTCCTAATGAGTTGCCCACAATATAGACTGGTTCACCAATTACCTGAAAAGCAATTCATGCCATTTCAATACTCAAAGGTTTATTTGATGGAGCCAATTTCCACAAGCAGATGATTAACATAACTAAGGTTGAAGTAAAATGACAGAGAACATCTAAGGTCCAACTATACTTCATTCCTAATCTGTACTTATCAATACCACAAGTAATTAAGATGATTAAAATAACATTTGTAACAAAGATACTGAAGGAGAATGTCATTTTTACATACTTATCATATTAAGATAGACTTAAAAAATAAACCTGTAAGCTAATTATAAAAAGACTGCAGATTTCTACTGCATCAAGTTCAAGGCCTTGGAGGCAAAACAAGCAGTGCCAGAGCAGCAAGGATACAAATTTATTATAGTTGTTGAAATAGTTGAGCAAATCATGCTAAAGCTATTTTTTAGGTATGATTTACAGCAAAGCCATTTGCACGATGTGACTCTAAGAAGTGTTTGGAAAACAACAAACTAGCTGGAACAACTAAAGAGCTGATGTAATCAAATAAAACATTAACACAGCAGATGAATCATCAGGTACAAATCACTAACCTTTTCTATGAAGTAGCGAACTTGATCCTGCCACAAATCCATAGAGTACACAAGCTTTTCTGCCCATGGTTCAGTTTCATCCCCAAAACCCCACGAAGAAGATTTACCATTAGATGCACCCACTGCTTTAGACTGAAATGTGGGATCTTCAAAAGGCAGCGACATCCCTTGACCAAGAAAATCCAGTGACCATACTCTAAAGTCACGGCCCAAATCCTTCATTTGCTTCTCATAATGGAAAGAACCAACACCAAAACCGGGAAGAAAGAGAATCTGCGGGGATTCCAAATTTTCACACCCGGCCTTTTCATAGTGCACGTTAAGCTTTGGCTTCCACTCCCAGAAGCAACTTCTTATCATGGCACCAGACTCCCTCTTCAGCTCATTTGGCAAACCAGGAATGAGAACCTTGGTTGCAGGTTGTTCTATTCCTGATATATCTCTTACAACCCCTTCACCATCAACCACAAAACCATCATAGCCTCCACTATAAACCTTGGAATTATTTTCTTTAGAGCCTTTAAGATTATTTAAGGATCTACAACCTCTTTCCATGTTATTGAACCTAGAAATGATGTTACTATTATGAACTCCTTGATTTCCAGCAGTGGGAAATCCTAATTGTCGGGAATTGAAGCATCTTCCACTCAATTTCGACTTCAAGTTCACTACATAACAGCATGATGCCGAACCATACGATAGAATTTCCATGCCCAAAAACTATACTCTGTATTAAACAGACACAACAATTGAATCAGCACGAATTCAACTCAATTTTCTTCATGATCATCTCATATAAAGGATATGCACGATAGATTACTAGAGTAGATACTTTAAATCGCTTTTCCGACGAATTTCAGGAACCTATGCAAATAATTATAGTAACGAAGGAAGAGAGAACAAAAAGACAATCAAAAACTCAAGCGGTACTGTATCCAATTTATCGGAACTCAAGCCATACTGAGCTGCGAATCAATACATCAATTCGCAGCTTCCAAACGAAAATTCATAATTATGAAACATAGTATCAAGTAGCATTAAGAGATCTTAAGAATAAAAAATACACCTTTAAATTAAAGAAAGAAGTAGCATGAGATTCCGCTGTATTCCAGGAGCTCACTGTACATAAATGATATATTGGAAGACTCAGGAGAAGATCGTCAGAGATGCCTTCACTTCACCCTCCTTTGCTTGGAAAGCTCTGCTTCCTTCATAAACCAAGGAAAAAAACTTTTTTGACACTGAAAATAAAAAATATCTGTAATAAACTAATAATGCAAATCACTTTAAAGCTTTCTGAAATATAAATAAATAAAATGTAAATTCCCCATGTACCCATCACCCCAGAGTCCAGGCGGAGTTGGCTTCCCTCTCGGAGGTCCGTTAACATTTTTTATTTTAAATTTTTTAAAACAAAAAAAATTATATTTTTAATAAATTTGTTTACCTGTTTGTATAATAGAGATTTAAATTAAATTATCCATATTAAATATTAAATATTTTATAAGTTAACTTTTCAGATATATTTAATATCAAAAATTTTAATAAATTTGTTCAACTATCTATATAGTGTAAATTTAATATAAATGATCCATATTTAATATTAAATATTTTATAAATTAACTTTTTAAATATATTTAAAAAATTTTAATAAGTTTGCTCACATGTCTCTACAGTTCAAATTTAATATAAGTAGTCCATATTTAATATCAAATATTATATAAATTAACTTTTTAGATATATTTAAAATTTTTTAATAAATTTGCTCACATGTATGTACAATCCAAATTTAATATAAATGGTCTATATTTAATATCAAATATTTTATAAATTAAATTTCCAATTATATTTTAAACCGTATAAGTTCAATATTAAAATTTTTAAAAATTTTTATAAATTAAATATAGACTATTCATATTAAATTTAGATTATTCAGACTATAAACAGATTTATTAAAATTCATATAATTTTTTATTTTAAAATATACAAAATAAAAAGATAAAAATATTAAATTTGGATAATCCATATTTAATGGGGGTGGGAGGAGGGAAACTGAGTCCGAGTCTAGACAGAGAAGATAAATAAAACATTAAAACATTAAAAGGATAATACTAGATATTACCATTTTTATTATTTTAAAAAGTAAAAATTTTTGTATTAAATTATATTATTTGTAATTTTTAAGTTTCTGTTGTTCTTTTAATCTTTTTATCTAACTTTTGGAATCTCTTTTTGGTAATATGAGTTTGGAGTCTAGTTGGTGATCGATGTTGTCATTTTAGCTTATTTTGTAATACACCCTCACGGCACAGTTTCATCAACAAAATAATACTCTTTATTTTTTTCATAATAAAACTAAATACAGATGAAATTAATTAAGTACAAATTTTAATTTTAATTTTTTTAAAAATGGATTTTTTAAAATACCTTTTATTTAATAAGGGAGAAGGAAAAAGAATGATATTTAAAAAATAAAATAATGGGAGCAATTTTAAAATAAGCTTTATCATCAATAAATCATTACAAAACATCGTATCACTCAAAAAAAGAAAAAAAGTATCTTATGAAATGGTACAAAGAAAGTATATATTATTGTTGTTGAACTTCTGTAAAAGTATGCTTCCATGTATTGTTAGTGAAAAAGTTACAAGAAAATTATATTATTATCTTAATAATATACTCCCTCCTATCCTCCATACACACAAACACACTTGTTTTAGTTTTATTATAAGTCACCTATAACTAACTTACAAAATAAAGAAAAGTTATTTACATTGTTAAAATTTTCTTAAAATTATTTTGATTTTCATTTTTAACCCTAATAAATACTATAAATTTCAAAAAACAAATATATTCCATCTCCTCATTGGAAATTGAGGAGAATAATGTATTTGAAAAAAAAAAACAATTAATGCTACTCCATCTCTTATAAAATGACTTATATATAGACGGGTAAGTATACTAGATTATGTGTCATTTTGGTTGCTGCTTATAGGACTCCCTGCTTTATACTTTTGTAAATGTACTTTTGTTAAAGCTATTTGGTTTGGCTTTTTGAGAATTTGTACGGAAAATAATTCTCATCAGAGTTTGATTTACTGTCTTTTAAGAGTTTCAGATAAATTATATAGAGCCAATGATGTTTTCTTTGATTGAGGAAATTTTCGCTTGCTCTTCTGCACTTTATATGAGTGATAAGGAATCAAGCCTTTCATAAATGAAAACTTATAAGCCCACATCAAGCAACTAGGAATTTTCAGAAAAAGATGGAATTTCTCATATTTGCTTGTAACTGGAATTATTCCAGAGACTTATCAATCTAAGTGCAAGAAAAATAATAATTTGAAAATTTCTTCTTCAAGGAAAGTCATTAATGATTGCTATAGATTCTGCTAATGTTTCTTATAATTATACTATCAAAATCTCGAAATTTGAAAACAGCAATCTTAGGACTTATTTGGTTTTTGTTCTATTTTTTATTTTTAAAAATTGTTTTGTAATACAGTTTTTAAAATTATTTTAAAAAAATAAAATGAGAATTAGTTTGGTTATGTCAATTAAAAAATAATATTGAAATTAAAAAAATAAACTAATAATGATGGTTATAGGCATTTAATTATTGTGATTAATAATAGAAATTAATCAAGGTAACTATAATTTTCAATAATCAAATGTATTGTATTTTAAGAACAAGAAAAATAAAACAAAAATAACATAAAGTTGTTTCTATTTTTTTGTTTTTCAAAGACAAAAAATGAAAAAGTTTTAAAAACAACTAAATGAAAAACACTTATCCAAACAAAATTTTAAATTTTTCTGTTTTCAAAAATAAAATACAATTTTAAAAGCAGAAAATAAATAGGCCTTTATTTTTTGAGCAGCAATGCTCTATTTTGAAGAAGAGCAAAACCAATTTCATATTTTAAAATCTTTTGTTTCTTCCTCAAGCCAATTTTTGCAGGCTTGTCCTTACAACATCTTACAATAGATGATAGGCATTAGCAATCAATCAGTTACATGAGGTTTGAGGTTGAGAGGTTTAAAAATTATCATAATAAAAATTTCTTCTTAGCACGATCTGGTGTAGAAGAAAGTTTTATTTTATAAAACATTCGACATATGCTCTATTCTTTTATGTTAGTGTCAGTGAAACATATTAGTCAACATGATACTCCTTCATTATTATTTTTCCTTTCTTTAATTTTCTACTTTTATGACTTAGGTCACATAGTAGGTTAGGTTGATTGATGAACTTGACTTTAGCTCAATTATTTTGGATTAGGTGGAGCAAGCAAACGAAAAAACCTGTCTCTCTATGAATTGAAATATGGTTAGGATTTTTAAAATATAAAATCTAGAACGTTTTAAAATTATATGGATTTGGTGCATTTCATTCTATGATTTTGCATCTTCTATTTTGTTATATAGTAATTAGTAATACATTATAAACAGTTACACATATTTTTTTCATCTTCTATTTCTCGGTTTCTTTGGTAGATCTTTGTCTCATTTTTATTAATTACACTAGAAGGACTTTTTATTTCAGCTTAAATTTAGTGTACCAGATTTAGCTCAACGAATATAGAGAAGCACATTCCATGCTCATAATCAATATCGATCATCCAAATTGATTTTGGATGATTCAGATTTAATCTAATCAGAGTTAGCTTCAAGGTAAATTAAGGACCGATTTGTTTAAGATTAAAAAATAAATAATTTTAAAATAATTTAGGGATTTTATAAAAAAAATTTATTTTGTAAAGATTTTATGAAAAAATGACATTATTTTATATTTAGTTACAATAGTGATTATTAATTAGTTATGTTAAATTTTATGATATCTTCTTTGATTTTTGTTTTGTAAAAATAATTTATTATTATATTATTTAAAAATTTTATAATATTTTCGCATATCTTGCCTTTTTAAAACACTCTTTCTCATATATTACATTAGATTATTTTTAAAAGCTAGTCAAAGTAATTTCTTAAAATAATCAAAAGTTTACTTTTTTTTAATTCTGATTATTTTAAAAAATTTAAACAAATATCTTTAAAACTCACAAAATAAATTTTTTTCAAAAAAAAAAGCGATTTTTTCATGAAAAAAGGTAAAACAAACGGGCCCTAAGTTGGATATCTACCTAAAATCGACTCCTATGCATCCTTAATGTTAAATGCTAGTTTTTTTTTTTGTTGCCCCTTTGAATCATGTAAATTAATTTAATTTTAATTTTAATTTTAAAAAGAAAAATACTTCATTTAAATCTTTTTGCAAACAATACAATTGACGAAAGATTTTTTGCATAGTACAAGCCCATAATCTAATTAAACTAAAAATTAAATAATGAAATTATATTAAAAAATATTCTTATCCACTTTTAATTTACTAGACAGTTTTCTCTTTGGGCCAACATATTCCTATGCAGTTTATGAAAAAAAAAAAAAAAACAGACTAATATATACGATACGGCAGTTTATATTATGGAAAGTAACGTTCGGGGCCTCCCGCCTTATTTTCGATATACTAGAATAATTCAATTTAAATTGGATATTTATAAATAAAAATTGCGTTGAATATTAAATGAGAAATTGGGAAGCAAAATTTAAATTTAAATATGGAAATGAAAAAATAATAAGCAGTGAGAAGGGGTCCAGATATGTTAACGTGAATGATTTGGCTTTAGTCTGCGTAGAGGGATGAGAGACATTGAGAGGCTCAATGTCGTTTTGTGCTCTGTGTTGCATTTTTCTGATTCTCGCTTGTTTGCACCAAACTCGCAAAACTCTACTGTCTTTTGATGGTGACACTGATGCTGAACTTTCACTAAACCAAAAACAGGCTTTCACATGCCCAGCTTCAATTAATGTGATTAAAAAAAATGCATACCATGTGAAACTTTTGCTTAAATGAAAAAAAATAAAAGGAAATACTATTTAATAAGCTAAACAAATCTAGTGGAAGTCTGGAGGATATGATTTCTAATAAGAGCAAGGCTTTAAAGATAAGAAAAATTATATACAAGTCCCACAAAATTCTAAATCACAATCAAGTTTCTTAAGATTTGAGTATAATTTAAAATTAGAGTATAAAGATAATAATATCCCTAATGAAAACACATTACATCAATCAAATAATTTAATAAAAATTTCAATAAAAACCTTTTGACCATACTTAATTTCAATTAAAGCCTTTAAAATTATGAAATTTCACTATATGTGTGGGGAA